GGCCGAGGCGGCCATGTTGTGCTCCTGCGGCCTGCGGGAACTTTCGGGGAAGTTTCTGGGGCGGCCCGCGGGGGGCAGGGGCCCGGGGGCGGCGGGCGGCGCCGCTCCCCGCGTTCCCATTGGCCGTTGCGGCCGTCAGTCAGCGGCCGGGCCCATCTCGCGCTCCCCATTCATGCAGTTTGGTTGCGTGTTGGTGTATTTTACTGTTTGCAATAAAGAGGGGGGGATTTTTTTTTTTGTTCAGTTTCTGCCGCAATTAACTCTTGGTCCCTTAAACATCTTCCTTTTTATTTTTGGGGTTTTTTTCCTGTCTATTTTTTTTTTTTTTTTTTTGCAGGACGGTCGGAACAGTTTTTCGCCGCTTCCATTTATTTTTCGATATCTTATCTCTATTAGGTTTTGCAATCAACTATTAAGGTGCAACTATGCCCAAAAGAAAGGTAAGTACGAAAAAAAATTAATTAAAAAACGAGGGAAGGCAGATGGGGAGCGAAGGGGGAGAGATTAAAGCGGCAATCGCGGAAATTTAGCTGTAAAAAAAAAAAAAATTTAGCGCGCGCGCGCGTGTGTGTGTGTGGAGTTTTTTGGGTTTTTTGGTTGGTTTCTCTTTTTTTGCATTTTTAATTTTCGGTGTATGTCCTAGAGCGGAGCGGGGAGCGGAGGGAGAGGGCTCGGGGCGGGCAGGGCAGCGCGGCGAGTTCACTTTTGGGCTGTTTTGTTTGGGAAGGAGGAGAAGGCTGGAGCAGCAGTGTCTCCATGCTGGATTACAAACAGCCATAGTGCTGTGCTGCCCCTGTGGAGAACGCGGGGCAGCAAAACCCCCCCAAAACCTGCGCCACGACCCCCCCAGGGCCCCCCACCCACCTCCGCCAGCGTTTTAATCCCCATCGCGCCATTCCCGGCTGGATTCGCCTTTAAACGTCGCCTCTTTCTCCTGCGTTTGCCTTTGTTCTCCTTTTTTTTTTTTTTGCCTCCCACTTCTTGTCATACCAGATGGTTGTGCAATGGTAATTTGGGGCCATTAGGCGGCGCAGAATTTGAAACTGGCCTTCAAGGAAAGCGGGGAAAAGGGATTTATCGCCGTAGTCAGGAACTTTGGGGCAGCGGGAATATGGGGCGCCCCCCCCATCCTTCACAGCGCGGGCTGGGGGGGCGGGGCGGAGACGCGGTCGCCCCTCCATCACCGTGGCGCCCGCCTGAGGGGTTTCGACCCGGTCCAGGCGCCTCACGGTCCCGGACGGGGCCGCCGGGGGCCTGGACCCAGTCGAAACGCTTCGGGCGGGCGCGATCGCCGCGTTCCCGGTTGTCCCTCATTGTCCTTGCGGGGCCCGCGGCGACCTTGTTGTGTGAGGGGAAATTGGCGGGAACTTTTCGAACTCGACGTGATGACGTAGTGACGGCTGCCGCGGGGCGTTGTGGGAGTTGTAGTCCGCGAGGCGGCGGGGATGGGGGGAGGCCGCCATTGCTGCGGGTGGTGTTGGGGGGCCCTGCTAGCCCCCCCAGCTCCCCTCAGGGCTCAGGTGGAGTCACAGGGGATGGTGCTGCCTTCTCACCTCAGTGTCTCGCTTTCTTTGCAGGCTCCAGCTGAAGGCGAGGCAAAGGAGGAGGTAGGAGTTGTGTGTGGTCCCCACTCCAAGAATTCCCGTGGGGTTCTGCAGAAATTAGGAGGCCCACGCAGCTCATGAGGGGTGTTCAGCCCCTGGGGGTGGCCTGTGCCTAGTTTTGGGGTGCTCGGGGCCATCACTGTCCTCAGAGGTGGCAGGTGACCCCCCAAGGTGGCACTGGGGGTCCAGCAGCTCCCCTGGGCTGAGGTCAGGGACAGGTTCCAGTGGGAACATGTCCCTTTTAGTCTCACAACTCCTGCAAGGAAAGAAAATTTGTCCCTTCGAGGTCGTCAGCAGAGTAAAGTGGCGGCAGCAGAGACCTGCTGAGCAAAGGGTCACTTCTGGGAAGTCACAGAATACTGCGAGTTGTGTGTACAAGGATCATGGATCACAGCATGCTTTGGGTTGGAAGAGACCCCAAATGTGCTCTGCTTCTGCCCCTGCCATGGGCAGGGACGCCTGCCACCATGCCAGGGTGCTCCAAGCCCCATCCAGCCTGGCCTTGGACACTTCCAGGGATGGGGAGTCATCAAGGTCCTCACAACAATGCCCATGATTTCATAAATCCTATGATTTCTATGGGGCTCCATGATGCTGTGTTATTTTGGGTGGCTGTCATGAGAAAGCTGTGCTTTATGTGCTCTCTGAATTTTACTGACATATCTTTCCTTATGCAGCCAAAGAGAAGGTCAGCCAGACTATCTGCTGTGAGTATCTGTAGTTACCCTTTAATATTTTATCACTTGGGATGGGGACAGTTAAAAATAAACTGTTGGGGTTTTTCCCCCAGAATTGGGAAAGGCACGCTTAGAGTATTGCAATATTTAACATTCCCATTCCATGTTTCTGTTCCCTGAGCCTCCCCAGGCTTCTCATATGAGATACAAGGTCTGTGTTAGTGCACACTCCATCTGCACATTCCATCCACAAGTATCCAGAGTTAAGGAATACTGATTTCAGGATGGATTTGTTCCCTGTAGGACTTCTCCATACAAATGCTCGTGGCTCTGTAAATCACCTGCTCTCTCCTTAGCCTGGTAATTTGCCCATTGATTTTTTTTGCAGGGCTAACCAATAATTTTCAAAAGCTACCAAGATAATGCTCATTAAAATAAGTATTTATTTCTGGTATTCACCTGATTTGTTTCTTGTGTTTTTTGCAGAAACCTGCTCCACCCAAACCGGAGCCAAAGCCCAAAAAGGCAGCACCTAAGGTAAGGGTTTTGAACTGAAGTTATGTTTTCCTTCTCAAGATGTTTACAGGGATAAAACCCCAACAATTAACCACTTTGCATATTCATAATTATCTTGAAAGTTTTAAGGTGGAATTATGTGAGCTAAAATAATGAGAAAGACATAATTTCATCCAAGTGCTGCTGAAGGAATGTGGTAAACTGAGCAGATTTGAAATCCCTTGTGGTGAGGCTTTGCTGCTGCTTTACAAGGCTATTCTGAAGTTTCATATAATGCATTGTTGGGAAAATGATGCTTGGAGTAGAGATCAGAGACTCAATTAGAGGAGGCATTGAAAATCGTGCTTTTAATTACAGTTTCTTACTGTATTTCCATTCTGAGGCCCTCTCTGCAGTTAGTTATCAGTTTATCACATTTTAATCACTCAGGGTTCTAGAGACCCCTTCAGCTGGGTATTTTTGGAAATGTCAGAAACATTGGCATGTCTGAGTATAATTTAAAAATAAACTATTTAAAGCTCTTTTTTAGTTTGGAGCAACAGTTTGAAATTTCAAAGGGGGCAGTTCTGCAATCCATGAGGGATTTCTTTCCATCCCCTTCTTATCACCCTTCCCAGCCATCAGTTTGCACTGCCTTTTTGCTAGATTTTTCTGTAAACATTTAGGATTTTGCCGCTAAAAAAACAAACAACAACAACAAAAAAAAAAAAACAAACAAAAAAAAAAAAACCAAAAAAAAAAAAAAAAAACCAAAAAAACAACAACCCTATAGACACCCCAGCAACAAAACTTCAGTGATAGTTTTTTAACCTGTTCCCATCACACATTTTCCTTGTGGTTTGGGATGGTGAGATGGGCAAAGCACAGTGAGGAGACACTTTGGTTGCAGAGGGAGATGATGGGCTGGGAACCAGGAGCTTTTTCCCTTTCCTTTGAAAAGGAATTTGCAATTGCCTATGGCCCAGCAGTCTTCCAAGTGAGCGAAGTTTCCCTCCACATGCTCTGTGTGGAACAGCAGAGATGCTGTGGGTTTCTGCATTATTGGAGGATCTGCTGTTAATTTTGGTGAATTTTTAATAATTGAAGAATCAGATTACTTTACCCCTTAACACTCTTGAGTTTGCCCTTAGCAGCTCATTTCTAAGGTGAATTAACTGTGTGCATTAATAATGAGGGATTGAAGTAAGAAAGTAAACTTTTTGTAACCTTTTAGTAACTTGTAGTCACTGAGACAAATCTCTTGAGTAGATAAATGTATATCCAGTAATGTTCATTTATCCTCATTCAGCTGTGAGCAGATCTTGCAGGGTTTCTGGTTCCTCTGTGGGAAGTAGGTTAATCAAGCAAGGGGCTGAGCCAGTGCTGTTACTTACTGGCAGCAAGAGGCACATCTTTGGAAGTGAAACTAATGAGGGTCAGGTATTTGGGTCAGGATCTGACCTTGCCTATGGAAAATTATTACTACAAAAGCATCAGGTTTTGGGTTTTGTTTTGATTTAGCTTGATCCACATATAAGAAACTGCACTTAAATAATAAATGCAACTCTCTTGTGGTTAGCAGAGTGATGCTGTTAAGTCCCCAGTTTTTCTGGCATAGAAGTGGTTTATTATCACAAGGAACATTTCTGGCAGGGAAGGGGAAAAGTCCTTTGCCTACAGCTTTGTTACAGTTTTCTAAATAGGCATTAACAGCACATCTGTAGTATTCTGGTGTTTGCACATGTTGGTTTTCTTCTGTGGCTGCCTTTCAGCAGCAGGGCAGAAGTACAGGCCAGTTCAACATTTTTTAGCTAATTTAATTGAATGCCTATTTAAAATGAGAATTCTTTTAACCCCAGCCATGGCTGCTTTTATATTCTGCACTTCCTTGTAGCACATTCAGGACAGACAGAAGGAAAACATTTCTCCTGTGAAACTCTGATCTCACCTCAGTTAATAGGAAGTTTGTGGGGTGGAAGGAGGTTGTGCAGAGAGTTTTGGAGTTGAGAACATGCTGATGTACAAGGTGGAAATCAGGATTTAATACATCACTGTCTGTTTTCTTAACAGAAAGAAAAAGCAGCAAATGATAAAAAGGAGGACAAAAAGGCAGCAACAAAAGGGAAGAAAGGAGCCAAAGGCAAAGAGGAAACTAAACAAGAGGATGCTAAAGAAGAAAACCACTCTGAAAATGGAGATACCAAAACTAATGAGGTACTTTAGCTCCAGTGAAGCTGAGAACAGCCAGATGTGCTGGAAGCACAGCTGCAGGGGCTCTGCTGGGCTCCAAGGGTGGGGGGGTCACTGCCACACTGTGAGGACAGAGCAGCTGTGGTACCTGCCCAGGGCAGCTTCCAGGGAGAGCCTGCAGGAATGGCCTTCTCCTTCCAGCTCCTTCCTGCCCTGTGCTGGAGCCCTTGTTCAGGTGCTGTCTGCTGGCCCTGGTCCCTCTCAGGGCTGGCTCACAGCAATGCCCAACATCTGGGGAACAGGGGAGCCCAGGGACATCACCACCCTCCAGCCCTGAGCTGACTTTGCACATCCCCTCTGGACTGCTGGGTTCCTCTGCTGCTCAGCACGGGTTGGTGCTGGGCCAGAAATCTGGTTTTGAGTTCTACACAATTCTTTAAAACAATTATTTGGCTCAGAACAATTCAACAAGGGATTTGCAAAGTAGACTCGGTCTTGCCTCTTATCTGCAGCCTCTTCCCACAGGTCCTTGCTGTGGCAGCTCCTTACCTCAGCTGCCTTTTGCTAGGTCCAGCTGCATGCTCCATCAGCTGCTGAGGGATTGTCCCAGCAGATTCCTTGCTGATAGTGAAGCAGTGTTTTCCCAGGGCTCTCTTTGCCCCTTGTGTTCTGTCACTGACAGTGGTGTCTCTTCATGGGTTGAGTGTCACCATCCAGCCAAGGGTCCTTTATTCTTTCATCTCTGAAACAAGAGCAGGAGCTGCTTGGTTAGAGCACTACATGGCTGATGTGCTTCAGAGGGGCTTTGAGGGAGCTCTGCAGGTTTGATATGTAGACTTGGAAAGTAAAAGCACATTTTTATAGAGAAAGGTGAGAAGTGATTCCCCAAAGTTCAGACAGAGCAGGATTGTGGTTGATGTGTAATTCTTCCACTGCCCCATGATGAGGGCTTGAACTTCCCCTAACATATAATTGATCCTAATTAAAATATATTCCAAACCTCTGCCTCTCTGCAGGCACTTATTCCAAAATTATCTCACTAATTAATACTCCTGTGTTTTTATTTTAAGAATTATCAGCCCATTGTTATATCAATATTTTCTGTGCATTCCTGTCTATCCACACAAAGCCTTGTCCACGTCTGTGTTAACAAACTGGTCTCTTTTTGATGCTGGTTAGATGGGAATCCAATTAGCATTACCAATAATATTTCTATTCTTCCCAACCCCTTTTCTAGGCACCAGCTGCTGAAGCATCTGATGATAAGGAAGCCAAGTCCGAGTAATGTTAACCCTGCCCTATATCTCCATCATTTGGTATCCGTACCTCCATGCTGTATTGTTAACAGAGAGGAATATTTTTATCAACTATTTTATAAATGCAGGTTTTTTTAGCATGAATTTAATTATGGAACATCTTCATCTCGGTTACTTGGGAATTAAATCCCTAACAAACAAAACAAAAAAAAAGTCATTGTTTTTAAATTTTGTGATTGTAATAGTTTGTATGGTACATGGAAAGAATAAGTGGTGGTAGCTTTTGACTTCTGTCAGTGTGTCCCTTTTTGTGTAAGTCATGCTTACAGACTTCAGATTTTAATTTTTCCCTTGTATGTGTTGTATGGTTTCTTAAAGTGGGGAGGTCTCAAAACAAATAACCGTGTGAAACATTCCAGTGGTTCTGTGGGTTGCTTTTATAAAGAAGGTGAGCTATTTTCATGAAAAAAACCTAAGAGCTGGAAATCTGTTGTTTCCCAAATGTAATTTTATTTTGTCAGTTTTGAAAAAAAAAAAAAAAAAAGAAAAATAAATAAATAAAAGTGTAATCCTGTTTTTAAATGAAATACAAACATTTCTTTTCAAAAAGGGCAGGTTGGTTGTATGTACCCACTGTTAGGAATTTTGCTGGATTTATCTTAATAAAAAAGACTCCTCAAAAGCTGATTGTGGTTTGTTGCTTGTGCTGCTGGAAAGGTCCCAGATTCCAGGAGAGCTGCAGTGGGAGAGGGAGAGCCCATGGAGAGCTTGGGGCTTTTGGCTGGGGCTGAAGTCCCTCTCTGCCTCAGTTGTGTGACTTCCCATTAATCCAGGCCTCCTTATTCTGGGAAAGAACTGGACCAGACCAGTGACCTGGGGTCAAGTCCCAGTTCTGTTATTACAGCTTTTTTGTGCAACTTTATCAGCTCCTGCTAAAACCTGCCTTTATAGAAAGTCTCTTCACATCCAGGATATATCTACAGGATATATTTAATAAGAAGAAAAATGTCTGCAATGCAGAAACCTCTCTCCCATTAAATTGTTCCTCAGCCCAGCAATCCAAGAGCTGGAAACCCCAAACAGCACCTCAGTGAGAGTGTCTTGGATGCAGTGGGGTTCAGGATGCATCCCCAGGGCCACTAGAGGATGTCTAAGTGTGGATTTAATTTTCCAGGCCTGAGGCACTGGGGATTGTTATTCCTGCTGCTCCACCTGTTCTGTACAAACACTTGGGGTTAACTGGGCTCCAGCTTCCTCAGCAGTGAAGGTGAGGGAGTTCTGAGGGGCCTTTTCCTTGGCACTGTATTCCCTTAATCCAGCAGAGATTTTGGGCCATGCTCTGGTCTCTCCTCCTGTGAAAACTGATGGAGCAGTAACTGAATTCCCTGTGCCTGGTGGAAGTGTGCTGAGCTGTGGGTAAAACCAGGGAGACTGAACATCCCAGTTGGAACATGCTCCAGCAATAGTTCAAATGTCATCCTGACTGACCTCTAAAAATGATTCACCAAATTTCCACTCCTCCAGGACAGGCTGGGAGAGCAGGAGGTGTTCAGCCTGGCAAAGAGTAGGCTCTGGAGACCTTGGAGCCCCTTCCAGTGCCTAAGGGGGCCTATAAGAAGGAGGCAGAGGGACCTTTCATACAGGCACATAGTGACAGGACAAGGGGAAATGACTTTAAACAGAGTTCAGGGTTAGATGGGATATTGGGAAGGAATTCTTCCCTGTGGGGTGGGCAGGCCCTGGCACAGGGTGCCCAGAGAAGCTGTGGCTGCCCCTGGATCCCTGGCAGTGTCCGAGGCCAGGATGAATGGAGCTTGGAGCAACCTGGGACAGGGGAGGGTGTCCCTGCCCATAGCAGGGGGTGGACTAGATGATCTCTAAGTTCCCTTCCCACCCAATCATTCCATGATTCCATGAGTTTAGCCAGCAGTCAGTGAGAAATCCCAATGGGCCTTCTCCCAGGAGAGAATGCATATTGGAAATATTTTAGATTTGTGTTATTTCCTACCCCAGTGGTTTCTCTAGAAGGGCTTCAAACAGGAATCCAGTCCTGCAGGAAGGTGGAGCCCCTTCTCCCAGCCCTGGTGCCATGGCACCATCTCTCTTTGGCTCCACCTCCAGTCAGAGAGTCTCAAACATTGTGATTTAAGCAGCAGACACTGAGTATAGCTGATATTTCCTTAGCACAGGATCCATCCATCTGCCAAGGTACAAACACCCTTTGGAATGAGGTCACTCTGATCCCAAGTCGTGTCTCTCCATCTGAGCCCAGAGGTTGTTACACAGAGCGTACAACTGAGTGTTTGGTTTTGGTTATTTCTTTCTTGAGTGCCAGGGTGGGAGTTGTTCTTAATTCTATAACTATTGTTCTAATCAAATTCCTTTTTCAAATAAGTACAGAAAATTGCCCAAGAACATTTTGCTCAAATTCATAACTTTTCGGAGCCATGGGGTATTGAGAGAGTTGCACAACTGAATGGATTGTCTGGTTTATGCCAAACCCTCCTCCACGGCTGTCCTGGTGTCTAGACACTGAATCCAAAGCCAGCTCCATGGCAGCTCCCAAGCTTGGCTTATTTTGTCTGAAAAGGAGAGGTTTCAAACTTTCAGGTTTATTTGGAATTTGTGGAGAAAGTGCCTTCCCCAGGGTCCTTGGCTATCTGTTCCCTGTGTTCTGGGTGTTACCAGGTCTGACCCTGGTTGGGAAACATCCACGGATTGCTGTGGATCTGGTTATCATTATTCATCGTAATATCAGCTGGGGACCTTGAGGATGCAAAGGTAAAGAGATTCATGAGTGTGAAGGTAGTGGTGGTTCTGAGGTGATGTCATGGGAAGAGATTTGAGCAGTGTTTGCAACACCCTGCCATGGTGAGGTGTCCAGGCAGCTGGTCAGGATGAGAGGAGACAGCCTCAGGGTGCACCAGACAAGGTTTAGGTTGGATATTAGGGAAAAAAGGGTTGTCCAACCCTGGCACAGGCTGGAGTCACATCCCTGGGGGGGATTTAACTGTGGATGTGGCACTTGGGGACGTGGCCAGTTGTGTCCTTGTCAGTGCTGGGGGAACAGTTGCACTCAATGGACTTGGAGAGCTTTTCCAACCTAAATGTTCCTGTAATTCCATGATCCAGCTTTTGGTGCAGGCTCCCAGAGCAGCACAGTGTCCTCACACAGTATCCTCATGGGATCTTCAACAGAACTGGGCAAGCATTTGCTTTTGTTTGCTCAGAACAATAAACCCACTGAAAACCACTTTGAAAACACTGGTCACTGTCCTGGGAGGGACAGGGAAATCAGAGGAGGCACCTCCAGACTTCATCCTGGTCTCCACCATCAGCAACGCGCTGGAACAGCACAGAGGGAAAAGGCACTGCTGTCTCAGCAAGCCAGAGAATGGCAAACACAGTGAGGTCCTTGGGATGTAAAAAAAAAAAAAAAAAAAAAAAAAAAAAAAAAAGGGGGAAATGGGGGAAAATAAAATAAAACAACCCCTCCAAGCACATAAAAGGAAGGGTTTTGCAGGGTCATCCCACATTTACCTTTGCTCCTTTGAGTGAAGTGACTGTACACAAAAAAAAAAGAAAGCCCCTCTGCTCTGGAGCCAGGCTGGGAGAGCTGGGGGTGTTCACCTGGAGAAGAAAAGCTCTGGGGAGAGCTTAGGGCTCCCTTCCAGTGCCTGAAGAGGCTCTAGGAGAGCTGGAGAGGGCCTTTGAACAAGGGATGGAGGGACATCCCTTTGGAAGGGATGGAGGGACAGGACAAAGGGAAAGGGCTTTAAGATGAAGGATAGATTTAGTTTGGATATTGGGAAGAAATTCTTCCCCACGAGGGTGGGGAGGCCCTGGCACAGGGGCCCCAGAGAAGCTGTGGCTGCCCCATCCCTGGAAGTGTCCGAGGCCAGGCTGTATAGGGGATAGGGGAGGGTGTCCCTGCCCACGGGAGGGGGCAGAACCAGAGGATATTTCACGTCTCTTCCACAACCCAAACCAGTCGGATTCTGTGACACTCCATCAGCTCTGATTTTCAGATCAAGAGCAGCTCCCTGGCAGTTAATGGAGTAACACTGGTGTTAATCTGATGAAGGAGGAAGAAAATTGAATCTCTGCAATGGAAACGATGGCTCCTCCCTCTGACTGTCTCGGTGCTGCTCCTTTCCCGTGCAGCTGCCGGGAGCCCCCGCTCTGAAACTTGATGCCCTGGATGGGCTCCAGGAGCCGGGAACACCCCGGGCCCGGCGCTGCGCGGCTTTCGAGGAGCTCTGTCCTTTGAGAGAACAATGTCAACGTGGCTTCCAGAGAGTGTCCCCGTGCCCGGAGGAGCTAGAGGTGGTCACAAGTGAGCATGGACAAGGGGACAGATGTCACTGGTGACTCATGTGTCCCCTGCTTTGGAAGGGGTGTGATTGGGATTGGGCTAGCGTGAGTCAGGGAGGGGATGGGGAGAGGATCAGAACTGCTCCTCCCCCTTTCACCCACACCTTTCATCTGTTTTCAGAGAAGCTGTGGCTGCCCTGTCCCTGGAAGTGTCCAAGGCCAGGCTGGACGGGGCTTGGAGCACTTTGGTCTCCTGAAAGGTGTCCCTGCCTATGGCAGGGAATGAGATGGGCTCTAAGGTGCCTTCCCACCCAAAACACTCTGTGATTCCATGATTCCATGATCATCCCTGATTTATCCACCTCTGCTGGAAGACGACAGGGAGGGGCCGGTAGGACAGGATCCCAGAGGAATGACACTCCCTTTCTCCTGCAGCACCAACCAGGGAATCACTGGAACAGTGTCAAATGGAAATGACGTCCAGGGATTAGTGTGAACTTCAGGCTGAGGTAACACCTGAAAGCACTGAAAGGAAGTTGGTGCTGATGTGATAGAAAAGGGGAAAACAGCAAATTGGAAAGCTCTGTTCCTAAGACTGGGAATCCAATTGACACCATAAAGCTCTCAAAGGCAACTTAATACAATTGGACACATCTTAAACAATTCCAGACGTTCTTAAAAGGGGGAGAGGAAGCATAAATTACACAGGGAAAAATGCTGGATTGAAACCTAAACACAGAGTGGTCAAGAACACTCCCACTCCCAGCAGCATTCCCAGTAAGGGGGTTCCAGGGCACGGCTGCTCCCCTTTGGAAGTGCCTCCCTCCCAGTGAGCGAGGTGTGCTGCTTCCACTGGGGATGAAGAGCAGCACAAGCCTGGAATTCTCAGTGAAAGCTGCTCCAAAGTTATCCCAGAGCCAAAATCTCACAAAATCGCTGGGGTTTTGTTTGTTTAACATGAACAATTCGGGGAGGGGGTGGAAGTGCATTTCTTGGAGCTCAAACCAGATGTGCGACATCCCAGCCACAAAGCTCCAGCTTCTGCGCTGTTTGTTTTCCCCCCAGGAAGATGAAAGGAGCTGTGGAGAAGGTTTGGATTGTGGCAGCTCTCGGGTTTCACCCTGGCTCCAGGGGCGCTGGCAGAGGCTGCTCTGTGGGACCACAAACGAGTTTTGCTGTTTCATGGATCCGGGGCCACTGCTCCCCTCGGAACACGGCTGGAGTTGGAGGTGGGCTGTTCCTAAGCCTCAGGCTGAGACTCAGCCTTCCAGCAGGCTGGAATTTTGCTTGGTTTGGTTTCTTCCTTCATATAAATCCACTGTCACGGAGGTGCTGACCAGAAGTACTTCCCCAAGTCATGGTTCTATTTTGTGCCAGCTCTGCCAGGAGAGAAAGGCTGGAGTTGCCTCTCCGGGCCTCATCCAAGGGCAATCCTGCAGGATCTGCCTTCTCTTCCTATAAATCCTTCCACGCTGCCAACAGAAAGTTCCAAATCCAGGCCAAACGTTCCCTGCTGTGGTTTCACCACCCATGTGGTTACAGCCTGGTTATCAACGGATATCTTGGAGTAAACCCCGACTTCCCCACTCCGTGTTTACTCCTGTGCTCCTCTATACCTACAGCATTACCCTGGGAATAATTAAAATAATTAACAAGTGTAATTAACTGTTGGAGGGGAAAGGAGACTTTTAGGACATTATACCAGCAACAATTAAATAAATTACCCTTTTTGTCTTGCAAGGAATTGACAGACAGGGGGGAAAAGGATGCGGGATTTGTATTCCCTGGTGCAGCGGCACAGGGACAGTGAATAGGGGTCGGTGGCTCTTGTGTGGGGACACAAAGCAAACAAAGAGGCCCCAAATGAAATTACAGAGTGGCAGATGCAAAACGAGCATATTTCACACAATGAGTAATTAAACCATGTAACTCATTGCCCAAATGGAGCACAGGAATCATAATGGCTTAGGAAGTGATTACACAAATTCTTGGAAGATGATCCAGCGGGGCTGTGGGACACAAAGACATGTCACCAGCGCAGGACCAGCACCCCGTGGTGGTGGGAGAGGACCCGGAGCTGTCCCTGGCCCTGGACCTCTGGAAGGAGCTGGGGAGTGAGGGGACACAGGTTTGTACTCCCCCTTTTGTTTGATCCCCTCCAGCCATTCTGGGCACTTTGAAAGGAGGAAAACTTCCCTGCTGTTCACTGTATGTGGCTGTTGGTGGGGACAGACACACGGCGTGGATGTACCCAAGGTACCACCTGTGTCCCTGCCAAGCCTTGTGCCACTGACCTGGGCTGTGCACATGCCCCTGTGCAGGTGTGTTCCTGGAAATATTCTCCATTGGAGCTGAATTTTTCCCAGGAGGAAAAGGGCACCACATCCTCCTGTTCTCGGCAAAACCCCCTCCCCAAATGCCACCCTAGGGCCCAGGTTTGCTGGGTGCTGCTGGTGCTGAAGGTGAGGTGATGGCCACCACTGGGCTGCAGAAGGGGTCCAGATTCCCAGCTCCCAGTGCTGCTCCATTTTGGCTTGGGAATTATTTACAACCCCCTTTGTGGCCCACCTTGGCTATAAATCATCTTGGCTTCACTTGGTGCTGTAGCCTCTAGGTGGTGGTCCTGGTTGGGGGTTCCTGCATGGCTGCTCTGCACACACAGCAAGGTCATCCCTGGGAATTTGGGGTTATCCAGCTGCTGGGGTGATGGCATGGGGACCAGGGGCAGGTACCACAGCTCTCTGGGTGTCACAGGACGTGGCACCATGCTGGTGGCTCCACAGGGCTGGGGGATGGTGACAGCAGCTCTGTCCCTGCTCTTGCTGCAGGGATGCCCAGCAAGGATGCACAAGCAGGGACCAGAGAGCAGCCAAGGCAAAATGTATCCATGGTTCTCCTCCATCACCTGGAAGTGTGATGTCCTTGCAAGAGCTGGAACCTTCTGGAATGCTGGGAGCTCTCCCTGCCTGCCCCGCAGCCTCTTTGCTGACGAAATTTGGGGTGACAGGAACAGTGCAGTGTGTCCTATGAGGACAGGCTGGGAGAGCTGGGGGTGCTCTGGAGAAAGCTCTGGGAGACCTTAGAGCCTCTTCCAGTGCCTAAAAGGGCCACAAAGAAAGATAGACAGAGACTTGGAATAAGTCACAGAGTGAGAGGAGAGATCTCCTGGCCTCAGCAGCCCACGGCATCCCTGGGAGAGCAACAATGTGCCCATAGCTGCAGCAGGAATTGGTGATACTTGTGTACAGTTTATATATTTATGTTTTATACATATCACAGAATCCCCGACTGCTTTGGGTAGGAAGGGGCCATAAACCCATCAAGTTCCACCCCCTGCCATGGACAGGGACACCTTCCACTAGCTCCAAGAATAACACAGATTTTTGTTTCTTTCTTTCTTTCAGGGCAATTTTCATCCCAGTTGCTGGAAAACTGAATGCTAAAAAGCTTCAAAAGTGGGAAGGAAAAGGGCAGTGTGCAGCAGTTCCAGCCAATCCTGGGCTTATTATTTTTATTATTATTATTATTATTTCCTTTCCAAAGACCGAGGGGGGAAAAATAGCCCGATTACCCCGCGCATCCAGCGCGCCCAGCCAGCCGTGAAAAGCAAAGCCAGTGTCATGGCAATGGCAGATGGCACAGAGCGGGAGCAGGAGCGGGAATGGGAGCGGGAGTGGCGGCAGGAGCGGGAACGGGAGCGGGAACGGGAGGGAGGGCTCCGGCCCCGACCTCCGCGCGGACCGCGCTCCTAATTAGCCCCGGAGCAGGGACTAATTAAACCCGGAGGTAAGACAAGTGATTACTTTTCCTTGCAGTGATGTGGATGGAGCCGGAGCTGGTGTTGGAGTCGTCCTGACATCAATGGTAGGAAACGATTTCAGTCTCGGCGCATCCCTCCCGCGCTGCCAGGGAGCCGCAGCAGCTATTCCTGCTCTCCCAATGACCAGGGGCTGCAGAGAATGTGGCATTGCAAGGAAATACCGATGGGAAGGAGAGAGGCAGTGTCTGGATGCTGCGCTGATGACGTCAAAATGTGACAGTCTCACTTATTAGCATTATTTGGCACCCAAGTATCCAAAGTGCCCCCTTGAACTCACCCAGGGTTAGAAACTCCTCTTCCCTCCTCCACAGTTGTTTTGGAGTATTCTTTCATGCTACATAACCTCATTCCTTTTAATCCACTCCTTCTGGTTTCCTATAAAAGAAGCAGTTGGAAGTAAATTATTTTCACTGCCATTAAACTGGGTGCAAAGCTCTCAGAAAATGGGATATAGAGAGGAAAATGATGATATTATATAATATAAATACAGAAAAATACATTATATTAGTATTATATTATATTATATTAAATACAGTTATTCTGTAAATGTATTTATTTTTGTACTACAAGAACTGGAAGTCCAGAGCTGCTCATGCAGCTGCCGTTGCTGATGATTCCTTCTGAGATGTGCTGGGCCTTCCACGGCTTTTATGGATGGGCTGAACTCTGCAAAAACCATGGGAAAACCTGTAGTTGTGGAGCCTTTGGTATTTCTTTGCCCATTCCCAGGCAGATGCTCTGTCCCCAGCACACACACCCTGGGTGAGCACAACACCAGTGCACACTGCCTCTGCTCAGCTTAAAATAGCTCCAGCCCTGCCCTTCCTGCTGGAGCACTGGGAGCATCTCTCCATGATCTCAGTCCCTGGGGATCAGTGGGATTTCCAGAGCAACATCCCCCTCTTGCAGAGCATCATCTGGATGATTCAAACTCAAGCGTTGCCGGATTTCTGCTTCCCAGTGAAACACCACACAATTTGTGTTTCTATTTTTACCCTGGATTAGTCAAGGGTCGCTGCAGGACCAGATCAGGGGTGCTGGGCTTTCCATGGCCTTATGCTTCATCCCATAAATGCTCTTGGCCTTTGGCAAGCAGGAGGAAAGCCTGACAGGAAAATTCCTCTTTGCTGCCAGGGTTGGATCCCTGAGGAGCTGCCAGGGCTGCTGCAGGTCAGCAGAGCTCACAGCCTCACCCCCACCACAGCACTGCCCATCCCAGCTTCCCTCACACAGAGGTGGTCAGAGTCACCCACTCCAGTCTAAAAAGCGTCCAGAATTATGAGAAAACTTGGGAATATCTCACCAGCAGCGCTGTGGCTGAATCACCACAGCTCCAACCTGGCTGGGATGCTCATGGGATGAAAAGAGCCAGGGAGAGTTTGGAATTTCCAGAGAAATCTCTACATTTCTACCTGTTGCTGTTATTTAATGCAGAAACAAGGGGAAAGCAAACCTGTCTGGAAAGAACAAATATGGAAACGGAGTTTGGGATTGTTGGAAAGGGATGGACTATGTCCATGAAAAATATTAGCAATAATTAGTCCCAATCATTGCTGTGAGCTGCAGATATTGATAGTCTGGATCTCACATCCATCAGAATGACTTGTAGTTATCAGCAGCTCCAGGGTTTTCCTGCCCTCCAGCAAACACATTGTTGCTTCTTCTGGAGGTCTGGTCATGTTCTGTTTCATTTCATTGCTGAGAGAAATTAAAATATTTCTTACATCTGCATCAGCATCTGGTAACAGATTAGGAATTAGGAAGCTGAAAATTTAGCTGAAAATAAGAATTTAGGAAGCTGAAAAAATATTTTAAAATACATAAACATAAAAATATATACATATAAAAAATGGGAGCTTCCTCCCTGTATTCCCTGAGCATATGAGGTTGCTTCCAATGCACATTTTATTTTAAGGTGAGTTATTTTGTTGCCATAGTGACATCATTCAGGTTTCCAACCGCCGTGTTGGTTTTCTCCCAGGCAAGACTTGTCACAAGCAGTCAGCGTCCCCAGCCCCTTCCTGGCCAGCAGCTTCCCACGGGGCTGCAGGATTCCCTGGAATTCCAGCCTGCAGGATGAGCTGTCACCACTCCCTGCTAAGGCACCGGGGGACACAGGATCTGGGGGAGTCAGAGAGGAGAGGCAGGCAAAGAAAAACTCCAACCGAAAGGATTTTCCTCTGCTCATTCCTTATCCTTCTTCCTCCACCTGTGCAGTGAGCTGGGAGAAGGTCAAAGAACCCGGTAGCTTTATTAATGAGTGCTAATTAATACACTCAGCTGCCTCTGGTGTCACTGTGCTCATGTACCCCAGGCCCTGACACAGGCAAGAATAAACCATGTTTGCCCCCAAAAGATTAAAATCTCTGTAAATCCTATTTCTTACTGCACAGGTGTCTCATGGATTTACTTTACTACGCAGAGAGCTGCACTAAAATAAAGATTTTAAATACAAAGGTCTGTAATTATGTTAATAAAGATGTAAAGAAATGGGATTCTCTGGTAAGGGAATATTTGTGGGGTTATTTGGGTCAAATGGGCTCTGTAAGTGTATCGGAAATTAATATTTAATTTTATGTATTTTTACATTAAATATTTAAATTCATTGTGTTATTATGATGCTAAAGACTTTTAATGGGAAATGCATTTTTTTCTCTAATTAATTTAATTAAAGTAGGCAGAGTGTGCCTCATTAGCCTAAAACCTATTTCATGGGTGCCAGGCCCTATATGTGACTGAGAGCCCGAGTGCCTGTTCTACTGCAAGGCCAAAAGGAGCTCAAAAAAAAAGCTGTTTCAAAGGTTTGCTATGTTTTTAATTTTAAATAAACCATTCCCAGATTATCAAATCAAGGCTACATTCCCGTGGCAGACCTGAGCCCTGTGTAAGCCTTCCCAGCATTGTAGCATCTGGCTAAATCCAGCCCAGATTAAAGCAAAGCTTTCATTGCACAAACTCTCCCTGAAAGGAGCAGGATGCTCCTGACGCCGGGAAAAGGACAGAGCTGGGAATTGCAGGCAGAGGATAAGGAATGCCAAAGGCAGCAGCAGGGTCCAGAGGAGAGGAGGCAAGGTCCTGTGCTGTACGAGGAGCTGGTGCACTTCTCCCCTGCAGAGGGAATTTGGGAAGCAGAGCCATTCCAGCCACGGCCGTTGGGTGTTCCTGAGATCAGCCCGGCTCCCTGATGGAAACCCTCTGGAACACAGCCTGGACACACCAGTCCACAGCTCAGCAACAGCCTGCACAACAAGGCTCTTGGCTTGCAGAGGTTTTAGCCAAAGCCATTGTTTTAACACCCTTTTTTAATATTTATTTCTGAATGTCTTTGACTGGGGGAAGGGTGGAAGGGGCTCCCAATTTAATTCCATAATCCTCCTAAGCCTTGCTTAATGCACTCACTCTGCCTGGCCTCTGTGACTTCTACAGTGGTGTTTTGGGTGGTTGCAGCACTGCCCTGGACAATGTCCCATCATTTATTTTGCAGCTATTTGAGGGAAATGATTCCCAGGGCTGGAAGCCTGGTTGTTAAATCCATATTGCCAAAGGAAACAAACTCTGTCACCCAGATGGTGCTGGACCTCGGGGCTGCCACGTGGATTCCTGGATGAGGTAGCTCAGAGTCCAGTTGAAAACTCCCAAAATTAACATTAAAGCAGGAGCAGGAGACTTCAGCAGTTGGTGAAAAATGTCATTTTTAGCTGAGGGGGTGGGTGGGGCTGCAGGGAACAAAGCAGAGTGCCCAGCTCTGGGACACCCACGTCCCCTGGGATGAGTCCCCCCAAGCATGGCCATGGCTCACCCCAACTGCCCTTGGGTGGGAGGGATGGCAGTGCTGCTGGAGGGAAATTCCAACAACAGATTTTGTCCTGCTGCTGTCTTCTCCTGACAGGGAGGGAGTGCTGCAGCCTGATTTGTTTTCCACATGTTCAAGAAAGACAAAACAACGCTTTCAAGAGTCTTGAGGCATCTCACGAGCCTCCGGTCTCCCTAAATTCCTCCCTCAGTTCTCAGCTCCCAGGATTTCTCCAATATCTGCTTGAAACCTGCACCAAGAGGACAGCATCACTCTCAGTGGGACTTTTCCATGTCCCATTTCAGCATGCACTGTGTCTCTCATGGGAACGTTTCTCGGCCATTCCAGAGGCATCCTGGAGTCAGCAAAGACAAAACCCCAAATACAAGGGCATGGGGGGCTGGCAGAGTCCATAGGCAGCAGCAAAGTCAGCATGGGAAGAAGGGTTTGGAAGAAAGCCAAGGTCTGAAAGGTGTTACCTGTGACAACCTCAGTCAGCAAGCAGGAGGAAGGAGCAAAGAGAGGAAAAAAAAGAAAAGACTGAGATCTACTGACTGCACAGAGCAGGAGGGAGAAAGGTGTCCAGAGACATCATGAAACACATGGAGAGAAGAGGATCCTCAACAGGAAATGGCAGATCCTTTAGACTTCAAGGACAACGTGGAGAACGAACAGGAGAAGCTTTCTTCCACCTCTACAGCCTTATTCCACATTTATGCCATTATAATCCAGGGATAACAAAGAAAACCTCAGGGAAATAAGGACTGATGGCACAGTTCTGTCCTGATGGATACCATGTGCCTTCACAGCTTCACCTCCCACCTATGGTGGTTTTCCAGCAGAAACTCAACCACACAGAACTTGGGGACTTCATAAACTCTTAACAGACTTTTATTGGTGTAAGAAAAATGAAAGGGAACAGCCAACAGGGCAAGAACTTGCAGGTGCTGAAAACCACCTCACTGGAAATTAAATTACATTAGTCCTTCAATCAAAAAAAACCCAAACAACACTTTAAAGGACCTTCCAAGAATGTAAGGCCTCTCTAAATCAAGATGACACACAAAACATATTCTAACAGGTTATGTCTCAAGCCCTAATAATTTAAGGCAAAAAATAAAAAGAGATTCTGAAATCTGAACTCCTGAGGACATCAGGGGAAAGACTTTTCCCAGAGATAGAAAGCTGGAAGGCTACAGGAGAATGTGAATGTCCATTAAATGATGGAAGTGCAAGAACTAAATGAAATATGGGGTCACTCTACTGCAGAGGAATTTATGGAAGCTTCCATGTTAAAGCTTTTCCTTATGAAGGATAAGAGGGAGATGTCATCTCAAACTGAAGATCACGAGAAGAGGCTTTATAATCTATAAATAAAGATAATGGGAAGAGAATTCCTGTATGGGACAGCGCTTTGAGAAATGTTCCAAAATCCCATCCTTGGATTCCATGATCAGTGACTTAGAAAGTTCATTCTAAACTCACACTCCTGTGAACAAATTTACACAGGACAGTTTTGCAATTCATCACCTCATGCAGTAATTGAGAATTAATTTTATAAGACTGTATTTAAAGAGTATTACTGAGCTTATTTACAATGTCTGCCTGTTAAGCATATCAAGAAATAAAAAAAAAAAATCATAAAAATGTTTTATAACCTTTTATTTCAATAAAAGCAGTGCTGTAAAAAACCCTATTGCACTCCTTCCCAATATTTCTGATATTTTTGGAGAATGAAAAATATAATTGAAACATAAAAGTCCTCAAAACTTTATGGAAAAGGGTATGGGATACAGAGGGATGTAATTTTATTAAAATTGTTTACTTAGCTGAGGGCATTCCAGTAAAATTTGCATGTCCAGGGAGAGACGTGATAAATTCCCAGCTGCAGTCAGATGCTTTGTGCCCAGGCTTCCAGCAGAAGCCAAAAATGCAAAAACCTAAAAAATCACAAACAAAACATCAAAGGATTATTTACAAATATTTAGCATGACTTGAAGTTACTGAATTAGCCCAGCAGTGATATCAGGTGTTATTTTCGGGGCAAGACCCTTGAGCAGGGAACCCCTGGACTGGTAGCAGCCACAGCAAGTCAGAAGCTGGAAAAGGCTGGGAACAGGGGCTTGATCCCGACCAGGGGACACAGGTGAGAATCAGGCCCCTAGACAGGGATTGTGCAGAGTGCAGTAGTGACAGCAGCAATAACAAAACCTACCTGCTCACGCACACCCAGTAGTAATTTTGCTGCTGTGAAACATGGGGTTCCAGGCACTTTGAGGTACAAAGTTGGAATTCAGAGATGCTGAGGATGGACCTGACATTGATATCATTCCCCCAGTCCTTCTGCTGGCAGAGCCCAGAGCACACAGGGACACAGAGCCACCCCTTTTCCTGGGTGTTCCATCCACAGCTGGATTTGGCATTTCTGTGTGAAATACAGATAAAGAGAAATGTTTAGATAATAGCCAGAAATGTCACTGCTCTGCAAACCAGGCAGATTGAGTTCCCCCAGCCGCAGCAGGGCTGCACACACTGATCACAGCTCACAGCAGCTAATGGCTGCCATAAGGAATATGAGATATGGATCAGCCCACGGAGCAAGGGATTCCTGCTCCAGGCAGGTGGAATTTGGGCTGAGTGGATTTTAGCATTCTCAAAAGGAAAAACACATCATATTTACATCACCAGAACAAGTAATTTTTCAACAAGATGAACTGCTGCAAGATAGAATTTAGAAACAAAGGCGAGCGGCGTCCTGGCTGTGCCTCCATCGCCTTCCTATGGGATAATGTCGCACCCAACTCTTGGATGTCTGGCACCATCTAGAGGAATAACTGGAATGATGCAGCTGAGAAATTAAATAATAAATTATTATAAATAGCAAAAATCCTAGAGCAGATCTTGTGTAATATCTAACAGCTATTTAGATATAATTTAACAGCTCTTGTCGAAGAAGAGAACCATAGGAAGGAGTGGAAACTTGGAGATTTGTCCTGCAAAAACAGGATGTTCATTTGCACACAAAAGCCTTGCACTCCAGCAAGTGTAATTAGTGATAATTATTTTCCATCTCATTTATTTTTTAAAATAAACTATGATATCAAAATTTGAGGTTGCATGTAAAGATCTTAAAATAAGCTTGGACTTTTTAATATTCCTTTATTCACAACTGTGTAGCACAAGGCACCCACTCCTGAATTCCTTCTGAACAACTCTTATTTTTGAATCAACTAAACAAAAACTTGGATTTAATTTAACTACCATCCTGGTTTGTTCTTTAGCTCAATATGAAAGACCCAAGATTAGCAGAATGTTCATAGAAATCCTCGTGGGTTGCTTCCAACTCACGGGTATTTTATGAAATGTACACAGAAAACATTATTTTTAAAAAGCCAAAAATGCTTAATTTGTTCCAGTGTTTAAATCCAGCTGGATTCAGGCATGTGCATCCCCATCTACATTTACTGGAAAGGTACAATGCAGTTAAACCACCACACCTGCACAATTCCACTCTAAACTTTCTTTTTTTAACTGTACATTTCTGGTTATGCTAAACCACAATTCTGTTTTCACACACAGCTAAAGCAGGATTTGACTCATGAGGGCAGAATAATCATAAATAAAATATGAGAGAGACACCTTTACCTGGTTTTACAAGCTGATTGTGGGAAAGCTCATTTAATTTTGTAATTAAATTAAACAGGGGGTTGAATTTCACTTTTAACCACAACTGAGAGTAAAACTCCCTACAACACCAAATGGGGAGAAGCGATGGATATTTGAATGTCATCAGTTCCTACTCCTAAAATCCCTCAAAAACCTTCTTTTTTTTTTTTTTTTTTTTTTTTTTAAAAAAGAAACAGCTACAATCCAGCTTCTTCCCTAAAGAATCTCTGCTCCTGAATCCTTCCGTGGCTCATTAGTCTGTTCTCCCTCCTCCTGCCACCAGCTGCTGCTGGCATTTACATAACAGAGCTGTGCTCTGAGGAAAGATGAATCAGCACATCCATAAAATCCTGCTTTCACTCTGAGATTTACTATCACCCCCAGCATGCTGCTGCTTGGATGCAGAGGATCTGGAAAAAGATGAGTCATGGAGCTGCAGAATCCACGTGTGGTGTGGAAATGGAGCTCCTGGGGAAAGAGAGGATGGCTTTACTCACCAGACGTGACTCCTGGAGGGGAAAACCCAGGAGAGGTGGGAAGAGGTATCGGTAACAGCCTTTGGAGCAGGCTTGGGGAGTAATGAAGCAACTGGGAGAGCGTTAAGGAGAGGAAGCTGAGCTGCCAGGGAGTCAGGAATGTCGGGAAGAAGCTCGGGAGTGACTGCACAGCCAGGCTGAGGGAAGTCCCCTGTGAACTGTTTGGAACGAGGAATGCTGGCTGTACCTGCCCCTGGTGCAGGTACAGCTGCACCCCGCAGCACACACAGGACACACCTGGGGCATTCCCAACACTCCCCCCTCCTGCTGATGCAAGAATCCATCTGAGCCCGATGTGGAGCAACACCAAGCACGGCAGAGCACTGACCCAAGGTCGTGGACTGAGCACCAAGCAAGGAGCAGCCAGGTTCCCAGCTGGGATGCTGCAGGAAGGACACAAGCAAGGCATGGATAAGCTGACGTTGGGAGCATTTTCTATCCCAGGCTTTTGAAAGCCCCTTTTAGTTACTACAGAAATCCTGATGGACTCTAGACAGGCCCAAACAGAACAATCCTGCCTGGTGGTGCTGCAGCTTCACCTGTGCCACCCCCAAAGCTCAAATGAAAGCAAATTGTGAGTGGAGAGATTCAGTAAGGCACCAAAAGGTGCCAGGGAAATGTCATATTCCTAAAGAAATACAGAATCATGGAATCCCAGAATGGTTTGGGTTGGGAGGGGCCTTAAAGTTCATCCAGCCCCACTCCTGCCACGGACAGGGACACCTTCCAGTGTCCCAGGTTGCTCCAAGCCCCATCCAACGAGGCCTTGGACACTGCCAGGAATCCTGGAGCAGTCACATCTTCTTTGGGCACCCTGTGCCAGGGCCTCTCCACCCTCACAAGGCAGAATTCCCTCCCAGTATCCCACCTAACCTGCCCTCTGGCAGTGGGAAGCCACTCCCCCTGTCCTGGCACTCCAGGCCCATGTAGTCTCTCTCCATCTTCCCTGTGGGCCCCCCTCAGGCACTGGAAAGCCACAATTAGGTTACCCTGGAGCTTCTCTTCTCCGGGCTGAACAATTCCAATTCTCTCAGCCTTTCCTCACAGCAGAGCTGCATTCTCCCTCTGACAGCTTGGTGCCTCCACTGGATTTGCTCCAACAACTCCAGGTCCTTCCTGTGCTGGGGATCCCAGGGCTGGAGGCAGCTCTGCAGGTGGGGGTCTCACCTAAGCATGGATGTGGAGCTGTTGGCACCAAAATGCACCAGGACATGGTGCTGGCCAGTATTTATGGAGCTGGTTTTCCCTGACATGAAATTCTGTTCAGCTCAGGAAGATGGATTTGTACCTTCAGGGCATATTACAAAACATCATCTGTGTTTTCTCCTTTGCCTTCCCATCACGCATGAAAAGATGAGCTTGCAGTTCTGGGCTCTGAAGATAGGTGGGAGAAGCGTTACCTCTCTGGAGAGTGGGATCAGTGTGTGCTTCTCCTGGCTGGGAATTCATTCTGAGAACAGCAGTTTCACCCTGTCTCTCCCAGGAAGCTCTGCAGCTTTGGAGGCTCTGGGGTCCTGCTGGGAAGCTGGCAGAGCTGCTACTGTTGGGAAGCCACTGGAATTTGCAGCTTGGTGAGGTGGCACCTCGTGTCTGTCCACTGACGAGCTGAGCAATGAACCTGCCCTGAAAACATTCCAACAGTAATTGTTTGGAGCCTACAAGAAAAATGGCAAGGGACTTGGGACAAGGGGAAATGGCTTCCCACTGCCAGAGGGCAAAGGTAGGTGGGGTATTTGGAAGAAGTTTTTATTGTGAAGGGGCTGAGGCCCTGGCCCAGGATGCCCAGAGAAGCTGTGGCTGCCCCTGGATCCCTGGAAGTGTCCAAGGCCAGGCTGGACAGAGCTTGGAGCAACCTGGGATAGCAGAAGGTGTCCCTGTCCGTGGCAGGGGTGGCACTGGATGAACTTTAAGGTCCCTTCCACCAAACCGTTCTGGGATCCTATCAACAGCCACTGAGAACTCAAGAACTTTAGAGAAGGATGAAGAGGAAACAGGGTCCACGCATCACCCAGTTAATCCAAGCTCCTGGCACAAAACAACTTCCACAGGAGGATGAAGGGCAGGTGAGTACAGGTGAATTATGTGAAACGGCTTCATGCCAAATCCCCAAATCCTCCCTAGCTGGTTGGGTGCCTGGAGGCATCCCGTGGAGCTGCCAGCAGGAAGGACTGCATCCTGACTGCACAGCAACAAAACTGCGAGCCAGTGCTCCACAGCAAAGCCAGTCCCGAGCAGCTGCTATAAATATGTGCTCAGACTGAATTTATTCTTAATATTTCCAGAGCATCGACTCACAGTGATGCAGCTCTCCGTATTCCCGGCGTGAGGAGAGGCTGTCCTTTGTTATGCCATGATGACAGTGGTTTTTACACTGGAGTCCTAACACTGAATGTCAGGTCCTTGAGATAAAATACAATTCACTTGATGTGTTTTAGCAACTAATTGCTGAAGTGATGTCGATTTCAGGAGCTCTGACAGGACGCATCCCATGGAAAAATATTTATTTCTATTAAAACTATCTACTTTGACCCGGCCTCTTTGTTCCTCGGGGAGAACAGGTGCTGTATCCATCATATTGGAATTTCCTGGTCACTGGGAGCAAACAATTTTATTTAACTCCTAAAGCCACCTGAACCTGAGACACCTCCCTGCAGCCAGGCCTTGTTTACCGAGAGCCTGGAAGGGCTGTCACCTCCCCACTGAGCAATCCTGTGTCCCCTCCACGGCACACGCGTGGGCTCCATCCCCCTACCCTTGACAGGATCCTTAAGATTCCTGAATCCCTTCATTCTCTTAAAAACTGCTTCATTTGAGGCATTCACGGGCCTCCATTTCCCAGGCGCTGTCAGGCAGGAGGCCACGACCAGAGGCCGAGAACACTGCGGCCGTGAGGGCGGGAGTCATGAGGGCCGGAGCTGTGAGGGCTGAGGGCCGAAGCCGCGAGGACAGAAGCCGTTAGCGCTGCCCCGTGACGGCTACGGGGCCCTCTAAAGCACAGCCCGGCTCAGCGCAGCCCCGTGACCGCGGCCAAACACCTCGGGCACATCCCGGCTCTCCCGGCCCTTCCTCTTCCTCCCCTTCCTCCTCCTCCCTCAGCCGCCGCCCGGAAGTGGCGGGCGCCCCCCCGCGGCGCGTCACCGCCCCGCCCTTCCT